TTCATGTTTGAATCAAATATGAGAAGAATTAATTTCTAACTTTTAGACTCTTGGGCACTGACAAAACAGATAAGGCCTGTGCTCCAGAAAGAGACATAATGGTGGTGAGTGTGTGCATAACCGCGGCGGGGGCGGGGGGGGGTTCTACCTCAGACTCCTGAAAACATTTCCCCCAAAAGGTTGGCCTGACTGAAGAGGGAGCCCAGGGGCTACAGGCCATGAGACATACGGATAGAATTCTCTTGGAAACACCTCTGACCGATTCACCCATCCAACCTGCACGCCTGAGGCTGTACAGACTAGCTCATGCTCCCAGGAGGCAGGAGAGGCCTTCATCTTTGCTGTCTCCTTTAGCTGCCCCTGCCCCCTTCTCTTTATCTTCCCTCCACTCACTCCATGCCACACTGCATAGTCCAGAACCCTGGATGTAGAAGGTCCAGATGTGCACTGAAGGAATAACTGGAGGAAAAGTAGGAAGGTGTGCTCAGAGCTAGGCTACCAAATCCTGGCCACTGTGGGCTTCAGCAGAAATTCTACTTGTCTAGGTCAGTGGTTTCCAGCCTGAAGTGATTTCCCTCTCAGGAGCCTTTTGGCGATGTCTGGAGACATTTTTGGTTGTCACAACTGGGGGAGGGTGCTATCGGCATCTAGTAGGTAGAGGTCAAGGATGCTGCTAAACACCCTGGAATGCACAGGACAGCCCTTACCCCCAAACAGAGAATCATCCAACTCAAAATTCCAATAGTGCCAAGACCGAGGAATTGGTTTAAATGAAGGTGGCAAGAGGACCTCTGCTTGGACTTCAGTGGTTCCCAGTACTGGGCAGCACTGGCAGAGGGGAGCATTCCTTATTCTCTGATTGACTAACTCCAGAGAATCCTGGAAATGTTTGCACTTGTGTGTGCTCTCCAGCACCTAATGGTAGATTCACATCTAAGTCTGTGTGTGAGTGGGCACTTTGCAGCATTAATTAAATAATTCAGCACCAAGTATGACCCAGACTCAGCTATAGGTACTGCAAGTAACAATTACAACATCAACGACTACAATATTCATGAACATTTATTGAAATTTGGCAGACATTGTGCTTAGCATTTTATGTGAATTCTGTCTTTTAATATTGCACAGCAACCCTGCAAAGGAACTACATATGAACATAATCTCCATTTACAGATGAAGAAAGTGAGGCTTAGGAAAGACCAGTGGTGTGCTGGAGATTACCCAGCTTGTGAGTAAATGGTGGAAATAGATTGCAAAGGCAAGCACTCGGATTCTAGTGCCCAAACTCCTAGCCATTAAACTGTACAGAGAAGAGAAAGACTCCGTCCCTGAAATATACTCAGGGATCCGTATGTGGATTAGCCACGTTAAATGGTAATTTCCAGGAAATTTCATCCTGATAACCCATTTCGATTCTAATTTCACAATTTGCATCAGAAGCTTCTAGTTCAGCTCAGAACACTGTGACTTAAAGCCTGAATTCTGTCTCCCCAGACGAGGCGCTCCAGTTTCCAGCAGCTCGAGACCACAGTCGCGTCCTGTCCTAGCCCCCAACCCAGCCAGCGGAGGAGTGACTTTGGCCTGGACGGTGGCTTCCCTGCCGGCGACGCAACACACCCAGACTATTTCTGCATTCAGAGGAGCGGGATAAGGGGTGTCTGAGCGGAAGCTTGTTGGGACTCAAACGCTGGTCGCCCCCCACCCCCCGCGGTGGCTGGATGCTGAGACCCCCGGTGCGCCGCAGCCACCTCACGCTGCGCTCCAGTCAAGGCCTTGATAACAACTGGGGCCGCCAGAGTGAGGCTGCGTTTCTCTTCCACTGCTCGCCAGAGCAGCTCACCGGGAAAAGACTGGTCTTCTGGAAGTGGGTGGGGGAAATGAAGCCCTGGGTAGAGGACGCCTAGAGAAGAAACGTACCCTCCTGGGAGAGCTGGACCCTCGTGGACCTGGCTCGCGGCAGTGGATCTGTGGCTTCTGCCAGCAGCTGGGAACAGGAGGGACCCTTAGGCAGGGGGGCAAATCTGAAGCATGCAGAGTGGGGCCTCAGCTTCTTCACATCTCTTCCCGTTTCCAAACTTCCCCCAACTCAGCTCCCTGGCAGGCCAAAACTGCATTTCTGGTCGAGGGGGCTTGTCACCAAGCGCTGGCGACAGCCTGTCCCAGGTGCTCTAGGCCAGAACTCTTGTAACCCAGGGGAGGAGCTGGCTCTAAAGGCGCCTTCGGACCCACCCTGAACCTGTCCCCTGGGGGTCGCCCTGCTGCCAGTCCTCAAGTCCCAGCCAAAGGCTGCAGGGTTGCGCTTGAGCTAAAGGACGCGCAACTTCACTCATCGAAGGGCCCTAGAGCGGCGTTTGTCCGCCGCGCCAAACTCGGAAAGCGTCAGAATAATCACGGATAATAAAGTTAGTTGGGATTCTGTTCATGGTATGCCCTAAATCACCTCGGCTTCGTTTAGATCAGCACAATGCCCCCTCCTGGGAAGGCAGAGAACTGGTCCCCAGTGAGACTGGGGTTCAGACTGATGGGAATGGGAGGACGCCAGCTCTTATCGGGCCCGACTCTCATTGGTCTCAGGCACAAGCCAGGCACCTCACTCCAGGAAGAACCACAAATGGCTTCTCTGCGGGGCACCAGATCGCGCCAGCCCTTGTTCTAGGGGAACAGACGAGAGACGCCCCCCACTCCCCCGCACGCAGCTTGATTTGAAGGAAAAAGACAAAAAGTTTTAAAAGTGAGAGAGACCCCCCCACTCCCCCGCACGCAGCTTGATTTGAAGGAAAAAGACAAAAAGTTTTAAAAGTGAGCCCCACAAATGTTGAGCAACCCCAACTGGAGCGTCTTAACAGCCGAAAGAGATGCGTTTGGTTGGTTGCTTTGTCTAGATATGGGGAGTCCAGCGCTCCCCAGAGTGTGCGTGTGTGTGTGCGCGCGTGTGCGTGTGCGCGTGTGCGTGTGGGGGTGTGCGCGCGCGTGTGTGTGCGTGCGTGTGGGGGGTGTGGGTGTGCGCGTGCGTGTGTGTGCGTGTGTGGGTGGGTGTGGGTGTGCGCGTGTGTGCGTGCGTGTGTGGGTGTGTGCGTGTGTGCGTGTGTGTATGGGTGTGTGGGTGTGCGTGTGTGTGCGTGTGGGTGTGGGTGTGTGCGTGTGCTCGTGTGTGTGTGCGTGTGTGTGCGTGTGGGGGTGTGTGGGTGTGCGCGCGTGCGTGTGTGTGTGCGTGTGGGTGTGTGTATCTGGCACGAGAAGAAGTGGCCCAGGTCTGCAGGACGCCGAATGGGAGTCTTCGGGAAGCGGTGAGAACCGGGACCCATTGTTTCCCGTGTCTGGTTCCCTGAGCCGCAGAACACCCCTCGGGTGTCTGTGCGCTCTCGGCCTCGCAGAACGCCACACACCTCCTCCTCCTCGTCCATCACAGCAAGCCCCAAGAAGGGCTGGGCTGCGGATTCTAAGCCATGGGGGGCTGTGGGGTTGTAACGAGAATTGGTGAGGACGTGAGGTCTCAGCGCCACGAGTTCCCAGAGCCACGAGCTCCGGCGGCGCAGAGCCCCATGGTGGGACTCCTGAGGCGGGTTCGCTCGGAGTCCTTGGAATCCTCGCCCGGAATGGTCCGCGGCCGGGGGCCCCGCTAACGGGATTTGCCTCAAAGCAAAGCGAGGTGGCCCTTCTGAGAGGATGTCGCACCATTCCGTAGACTGGAAATTTGTCTCTAACGAATCATCAGTTCGAGCCCAGCGGAGGACGAATATCTTGCGCTCGCGGGGGAGTGGTTTCTGCTCTTGGGGATGGCAGCCGGGACAGCCGAGAGGGACGGAGGGGGGAGCCGGGTCCTCGGCGGGAAGAGAGGCGCTGCAGGGGTCGGGACCCGAGGCGAAGCTCTGGGAGAGCTCCCTTTTCCCTCCCGGCTCAGCTCTCTGCGCTCCAGGGGCTTGTGGATCAGGCGGGAGCCGGACACTCGGGAGCACACGTGGCCTCGCGGGGCTGCGGATGCGGGAGTGCTGGCTGGGAGTAAAGCGAGGCGCCGGCTCACACCCCGAAACCTATTCCCCGCCCGCCCAGCAGGGCAGCCCCAGCCAGGTGACACGACCCCCCAGGTCGGTGCCTGTCTAGTCCAGAGCGCAGGCCTCGGGGTCCAGAACCACGGGCATTTCTAAGAAAAAAAAAGTTTATTTAAAGTTTCGTACATAAATAAATAAATAAATATCTTCTGGCATTACAGAGACCTTACAGCTACACACCTAGGCCGGGGCGCGGAGGTCTGCGGGAAGGGAGGGGTCATCGGACACGGAGAGCCAGGGCCTGCGTTTGGGGAACGCGGGGCCTGCGTTTGAGGAACGCAGAGAGCGTCGGAAACAAGGTGAATCGGTTCCTGCAATAGGGATAGCAGGGCGACCCTTCTCTCCCGGGGGAGGAGCCGCGGGGACAGCGGACAGCAAGGCTTGATGAAGGGACAAACGGACCGACTGAAGGAGGAGGCTCCTAAAGGAGGGGAAGAGAAAGGGAAAAGAAAGAAAAGTTCATGAATGTGTGTGTGTGTGGTGGTGAGGGTGGTGGTGATGGTGGTGTACCACGGGAAAGAGGTGGGGACCGAGAAAAAGACATAAAAAGGGGAAGCGTACGGACACACGAGGAGTCGAAATGCCGAGCCTGGACAGAGGGCAGAGGACAGTAGAGAAAGTGAGGAAGCCTGAGCCACCCGGACAGGGCGGGCGAGGAGGCGCCAGCGGCCAGCAAGGCGCTGGGCCAGGCGTGCGTGCCCGCGGGGGCCGCCGTGCCGCAGCACCTCGGGGGAACGCTGGCAGGCTTCGCAGCTTGGAGTACGCTTTGCACGCCCGCGAGCCCACCGTCAAGCTCTCGGCCCTGCCCAGGGCGGGGGCCTCCGCAAAGCCCTGCTAAATCTGTCCGAAGCAGTCGTTTGGCAGCGGGTGCCTGGGAACCAGCGCTGCGTCCCAGGACCAGTCTTTGGGCGCAGGGAGGTCCGGGGGTGGATGACCTAAGGAGACGCACGCCTAGGGAGTGACCGTGAGATCCCGGTCTTCCTTCCCCGACGAGGACGGAGACACGGGCAACTCGTCATCATCCTCGGAGCACTTGGCTGAGGAGAGCGACGCGCACTTGCAGCCTTGCGGTGGTGCTCCCCCGCCGGCCGTGGCACTCCCGCCGCCGCCGCCGCGGGGGCTGCTGCCCTTGCCCTCCTTCTTGTGCTTCACTCGACGGTTCTGGAACCAGATCTTCACCTGCTTCTCGGACAGGTTCAGGTAGGTCGCAATCTCGATACGGCGCAGGCGGGACAGATACATGTTGGAGGCGAACTCGCGCTCCAGCTCCAGCAGCTGCGTGCTGGTGAACGCAGTGCGCATCCTCTTGCTGCTGGGCAGCTGGTTCGAGCTGTTGTCTGGAGGGGGTGGCAGTGCAGAGAGAGAAGCGGTCAAAACCCTGCGCAGTGGGCCCAGTCCCCTACTAGGCGGCCGCTAGAATCACGGAACTTTGGTTTCTCACCCGCCGCTTCGCCCCAACACGATCCGAAGCAATGCTAACGCGGTAGCCTCCTTGACGCAGGATCCCGATCCAGCTGTACCCCAGCCCTACGCCCCGGGCATTCCCTCCAAGACCTGGATCTTCCGCCCTTACTTCCCTCCCGGAGTCTGTCCCGGCCGTCCATCCGCACACCACTCTGGGCGCCCCTCTCAGGGCCCCGACACGACCCTCACCGCCCCCAGAACGCCCAGGGTCCCTCTTTCCCCACCCCTGGCTCACAGACCCGCCTCGGATCACCTCTGCCCTGTCCCTCTGCGTGGCTGCCCCACTTACCCACGGAGATGCAGTGGAACTGCCTGGGGTCGGGCAGCGGGTAGGAGGTCTGGTAGAGAGCGGCGGCGGCGGCGGCGGCGGCGGCGGCCGGGCCGTGAGCGACCCCGGGCGACACAGCCGAGTGCTGGCGGCCCAGGGGCGCGTGGCAGTACTGCGAGCCGAAGGGCGGGAAGGACGCCTTGAGCAGCGGCAGCGCGGGCGGCCCGGGGGGCCCGTGCAGCTGCGAGGCGGTGACGCAGAGCGGGCACACGCACAGGAGCCCGGCCTTGCGCGCGTGGCAGGCGCCGGGCGAGAGACCGTGCAGCGCGTGCGGCGGGGGGAC